CGGCATCTGAGGCGAATGACAGGTGTACCCCCCGCGATAGTTCGACCTTGTTTCTATTGTTCTCACTTGTCAGGTCCACCACTTCCTAGCATTTCTCAGCTGGTTGCATCAAAGCAAGGTGGACCAAATTTCATCTTCTGGAAAATTAGTAGTTAGCAAGATAAATTTTCCACCTCACTGCCAGTTGAACCATCAACCTCTAAAATGCAAAGAAAACCAATTATCGATTGCGTCATTGCTGTCCCCTCCATTTATGCTGTCAATCGTACAAGCGGTACGAATACATCGATGAACTATATAACACAGACCATTGGTCACTTACCGTCCGGCTTTCTCCTCCGCTTGACCGCCGGAGGTCCAACCATATTGGCACACATCAACTCCAAATGTTCCATCGACTCGAGCGTGTCTCTGCTGTGACCGATGTGCTCCTGTTCGCACATTGCCCGAACTAAACGAGAGAGGTGAGTAAAATTGGAGACCACAAAAATAAACTCGAATGAACGCGCGCGATTCGCGACCCTCACGAGTCACATGATCAGTGGTCAGAAGAAGAACGAATTATGGCGCGTTTCTCACACTGAAGCAAAGTCCTTAAAACGGTGTACCTTAAGCGCAGACTACGATCGTCTTCACCAGTGCAACTGCAGCAATCGACGGCATTGACGTCAGTACTGACCGATGTGCACATTTCGATAGAAAGAAATCTATGGCACAACAGCTTCAACATGGACAGATTATGTGACTGGGTCTTCTGGTTCGATCACGCGACCATTGACCAACGCTGACCACATGGGTAGAAGCCTTCAGAGTTACAACTTATCACTTGCCACTTCAGAAGTAGGGCAGTCACTAGTTTTCTGCATCAGATGTGTGGCATGACGAGTTTCCTTCCCTCATCGTGTCGATAATGACCACTGTACGATGCATATGAAGATAGCTTCTGTGTCTTAACTCACCTGGATGGTCAGTTTTTTTACCTCGGTCATATCACGGATGACCACTGGTCAGCAGGACTTGACCGCAGCGAGGCAATACTTGCAACAGGCAGATCAGTGACTGTTGGTCGAAATGAAGAAACGTGGTTATGACACGCGACTTGCATCTCCGAGAACTGCATAGACAGAAAATCGTTGACGACCGGAAGCCCAAGGCATGAAGCGGCAACACCGAGACGAACCACAGTCCTCACACAAAGTCAGTGGTCCATAGCGTGGCCAGTGGTCTTCAATGACGCGAATTCAACAGGGGGCACTGAGACGCGTAAAAGAATATTCCGGCTTAAAGTCGCCAGGCAATTATTGATAGAGGTTCGAGCACATGATGGACGTGGCGGTTCAACCGCGGCATCAAACTACTGGGCAAATGAATACTAACTAACTGAGGGGATGGACAGAAAGACCGGCTAGTTTTCGTCATCGTCATTTGCGGCGGGAGAGTGAAGCGAAATTGTCACTCGTTCAACATTTACTAATTTGTGCAGCAACCATAGTGTTCATATCGATCGAGGTAACCGTGGAGGCAAATTTGGTTCGTTACCTCCT